CCCTGTCCGGGACTGGCCTGGGGCTGGGACGCAGCAGCGGGTGTTCTGTGGGGACACACAGCAGGGGACCTCCAGCCTTGGGGGCCCTCGGGAGCTCCCCGGGAGAGGTAACCGCATCTCAGCTGTCTCCCTAGTCCCCGATGTGCTTTACCATACGCTGCCCTAAGTAATCCAGTAAGACTCCCGATCACTCCGGGGATCTTTATAGGTGATCGCACACTGATTGTAGTTTGGAGACGGGATTGGCTCCGTAACACACTTCAGGTGTGTGACACCTTTCTTCAGGTGGAGAGAGCACGCACAGACACGGGTGTTTTCGGTAGGAGCGTGGCCTCAGCACCCTCCTGTTATGACACAGAGAGAGGGGGACTGAGGGTCTCAATATCCCCTCACGTTGTGAAAACCTGCTGGGCGCCAAGCCCCCTGCAGGACCGGGAGATTCTGCATCCCAGTGCTATGCAGTCTCCTTGCCTGTCTGTTGGCGATAAGATACCACCTTGTCCTGTCCTGAGACCAGCCTCCTGGGCACTCAACATGGGCGCAGGGGCATGACCACAGGCCGGGTGGAAGGGCCTCGCTTCCCCCGAGGTTTGTGCCAGGCAGAGCTGGGGGCTGAGCTTGGACACCGGGAGCCAGTCTGGCTGCCAGGGCCGGTACGCGGGGCTCTGGACTGGGCCCCGGCCTTTGGCTGTTGGGTTCATCAAGGCAGAGCTTTGCCTCTTCTCGCAGGAGGATCACGTAGCTCTGCCTTCTTGCCGCATCAGGCGGCTGTGCGAAGTAAGAAGTCTCCGCGTATTTTTAGAAGGATTACTTAACGAGTTCTTTGTTTTCCAGCCTCTGGAGTGTATGAGGTGTGGGCTGTCCCCGGGGGAAGTTGCTCCATCGCCCCACATTGCTTGGCAGGCGGATTTTCATTCCAGCACTTGGTTCAGTGCCAGTTTGGCATCTAAGCTTGAAATAGTGCTATTCAGAGGTTGTTTTTGTTTTTCGTTTTTTAGAGAAAACACATTTTAATCAAAGGAGGGGATCGTTCCCTGGGGGATCAGTCAGGACAAGCAGGCTCCGTCCTTTCAGGGTGCTATTCCTACCCCCACACAAGCACACACAGTCTAGGAAGCGGTTCAGGATAAACCTGAGAACGAAGTCATCCGGGGTCTGTAGGTAACAGGCGAGACAAGGCAGAGGCGGCAATAGCCAGAAGGGAGAGAAGATAGCCGTGGAGCCCCCCAACGAGCTTTGACAAAATAGCTTTTTTCTGTCCCGTTTCTTTTTCCACAAAGCGCCCTATCCAACAGGCTTAGGCTGTACTTGTAAGAAATGTTTTCTGAACCCAGGATGAAGGAGACACAGATTTTAGACAGGGATGACGTCCGTTAAATGCGGAGGGGTAGGGAAGTATCTCCGTGTGGCCCTGCTTCGTTCTGACTTTTACCGTCCGGGGCACGTCCGACCCTGCAGGCCTTGCCCAGGGTAGGGTTCACCTGCCGGGGCGTGGGAACAAGGGCGGACAGGTGCTGGTTGCCATGATTTCGGGTTTGCCTAGCGCCTCTGCCCCGGGGTGCTGGAGACTGGAGAGCGTAGGAGGCACATGCGGCTTGGTACCTGTCATCCGTGTGCTGTAACCGCCACATAGAAAAATCCCGTGACGAGTGACGCAATGAATGAAACTGTGGAGCGAGCGCACAGATAGTACAATATGTATTGAGTGGGCAAATGTTAAGCGAATGGGGAAAAAAACCACGCCAAGCCTCGCTCCGTCTGCACGGGGCTCTTCCTGCGGCGTTGCTCGCGGTGAAGCTGCCCCGATGAGGATGCAGCCCACGGAGAGGTAGGAACCTGGGTTCCGTGACTGGAGCAGGGCCTCCCTGACGGCGCACTCCCGGGGCCGCGGGGCCCGCTGCGGGGAGGCGCCAGCCTGCTCCCGCGGGAGAGAGGCCAGGAAGCTGCCTGCGAGCTGGGAGGTGCTTGCCTGCTTGCAAATGTGACTCTGTGCATGTGTTCGTCTTGAATGACTCGGATAATCTGAAAATCCGTTTGCTTTGTCAATGCTTCCGGGAGTAGAATTCCGCTCTTTGGCCCCTACCCTAGGTAAGACATCCTTTGCGAATCGTGCTCCCTGTAAGGTGTTGCCGTGGTTGCCAAGGCATTTAAGGTGCTGATGAAAGTGAAATGGTCGTCATGGTGACCGATAAAAATAAGTGCTGAAAAATGCCCTGGGCCCTCTCTTCTCCAGCCTGCTGAAGAAAATCGAGCGGGAAACATGGAGGGAGAGCGGGGTCTCCCTCATCGCCACCGTGACGCGGCTGATGGAGCGGCTGTTGGATTACAGGTGAGCCGAGCCCCGCGCTTTCCAGGTGCTGCGTGCGCCCCAGGCGGGGGTCGGGGTGGGAGACGGTCCCCGCGGCCCCCGGGTGCTTCCTGCAGACAGCTGGCCCTCAGACCTGGCGCTGAGGCCCTGGGATGTGGGCTTTGAACTCACTGGCTCGGACCTGTATTTGGGTCTTTCCCCTTTCTGTCTGTTTTGTTTGGGCCGGCGGTTCTTTCAAAGTTCAGTGAATGGCGAGGGTGTTCAGTCCCATTAGCAAAGGGATTTTGTTTTTGTTTTTTTATCTGGACTCACCCATTAGAGCCAGCGGGTAGATCCATCCCTTTCAGGGCGATGACAGGTGATGGGGAATTAGACAGCCACGCTGCTTTCATATGTATTGAGTGGGCAAATGTTTAAATTTTTGCATTTAAAAAATTTTTTAAATGATCTAAACTGGTATAGCAGTTTGTTCCACTTAAATGCACGGTGTTTTTGTTTTATTTCAAGAACGAAACCCTCATTCTCATTGTTGAAGGCCAGGCTTACAGCCCCTCCCGCCCAGTTAGGGGTGCATAATATACTAACAGGCCTGGCCCCTCCTCCCGAGCCCCCTGGAAGTGGAACTCTCTGCGGAAAGGGGTGCTCGGGAGCCCGCCCGCCCCTCACCTCGCTCCGCAGCCTGGGCAGTTCCTCCAGGCCGCTGAGCAACCTGCCCTGCATGCCCTGAACGGACCCTCTGTGTTCGCCCCTGGGAAGGAGGTGCTGGGTCTGACCGCTGCGTTTTGATCGCAGGGACTGCATGAAGATGGGCGAGGTGGACGGCAAGAAGATCGGCTGCACAGTTAGCCTTCTGGTCGGTAACCCAGCCCCTGCCCTCGGAGCCTGACGTTTGTTTTGCAGAAGTGCTGCCTTTTGTTTGGTTTTGATCCATAGTGCGTTTTTATCAGGACGTTTTTTAGAAGAGTTTGGAAGTGTATCCAAAAGACACCTAGTGAGCTTCAGGTTGAATTAAATCCCAGAAAATGATCCTTTCTGAGTATTGCAGATGCACCCACGGGTCCCAGGGGCCCTGGTGGCAGAGCCCTGAGACCCCAGCCGGAGGCCGTCCAGTCTCCTGTGGCCCCACTGGATCTGTCACCCTGAGTCTCTGTCGCTCTCTAGGAAAAAGCAATGTCCCCACGGAGGACTTTGTACTTCTGGGTAGACAGTGTCTTTCCATCCGTCCTCATTGAATATTAGTGAGCTCTTCTTTTGTGACCAAATGACACTTTTCTGTCAAACACGCTGCTTTTCACTCTCTAGCTTCTTTGCAAATTAAACATCTAATACCACTGATGTTAAGGCTTGGATTCTAAGTAGGATGATCCTACAGTTTACCACTTAAACAGAACATTTTTGGGAGTAAACTTAAAATACTATGTGAGGGTAACAGGCTACACTGGAACTGCCCTGGGGGAACTACATGAATATTAAACCGTCTCGTGGCTGCTAATTAACTTGAGCGATGTGCCCACCACGGGGCAAAGAATGGTTGTTCACATAGACATGCGTTTCTCGGGGTTCAGAAAGGGTGAAATCACTCTTTCGATCGTTCCTCTTAATTGGATTTGAAATAGAGGACTATGTGACTGCTTCCTTTATCTAAGCTGGTGGGTGCCCTGGTTTCTTCTTATTATTTTAAAGAATAAGTGGAACCTCACCATCTCCTATGCGGACTCTCCCTCGCCTTGCTGTTCGCACCGGCCTGCACCTTGGGGGTGTGTTCCGCCCGTCTCCTTCTGTCTGGTCTGGGTCACTGGCTCCAGTCCTGTTTTACTTGGTTTGGTTTTGTTTATTCCCCGCACAGCCCCCCTTCAAAGCTCAGGACCGTCCCTTCCTTACAACTCCTTTTCGCGTTTCCCTGCCTGACTTTCTCCATCTCTGAGGACGTGACTCAGCCCTTCGCCACGCCCACACTTCCCCCTCGTTTCCCATTTAATCGGTGCATCTCCGCCTCCGGCGTCAGCCTCTAGAGAAGCGAGACCCGAGCTGCCCTCGGTGGCCCCCACCTTGCTGTGCACTTTCCCCCATCACCTTTGTCACCAGACTCGACAGGAACCTCAGGCCATCGATTGATCTGGCCAAGCTCGTGGGGTCTGCCCATTCTGTCCCCTCCTCGCGCTCATTTCTAACCTTGGACGTAGTCATTCCCACTTTCAAACCTCCTGCGTGCATTTCCCCAGTTTCTTTTCTAAAAAGAAGAGTTTGTTGACTTTTTTTTGGAGAGAGAGAAACATCGATGTGAGAGCACAACATGCCCCCTACCGGGGATCCAGCCAGGAACCTTTCAGTGCACGGGACGGCCCCCAACCAACTGGGCCACACTGGCCAGGGCACCCCAGTTTCTTGCCAGCCTGTTTCCACGGTCAGTAGCCTTAGCCCGAGCTCCTTCCACACCCCTGATTGTATGTCTGGGGAGAAAGCCAAGCCCTCTGTAAGCTCCAGGTCTTCCCCGGCCGTCTCCTTACTCCTGGCTCTACCCCAGCTCCAGGCACAAAGTCTCAGGAATAACCTCAGAGAAAAATCTTTACTGTTTTCTAAAACATTTTCTAAAATAATCGTTTCCTGTTGGCTCCAGCCTCCCGTTTAGAGGTAAACAAATACAGGCTCATTTCCCGAAGTTCACTCCCCAATTGCAGTAACCCGGAGATCCTTTCGTCCAATGAAGGAATTCATACTCTGCCCTAAAAGTGTTTCCTCTCGCCTCCCGGCAGGAATGAGCCTGTGACTTAATAACATCGGCGGCCACATCTGTGTGCACTGGAGACGGAGACACTATCCAGCCAGCTTTGCTGACTGAGAATAGTCCTTATAGAAAACGTCACCCCTTTGAAAGCTGTTCTGAGTTCAACCGGTGCGAGAATACTTGTTGTTAAAGGGGCAAACCTGTAACGCTGGGGCGAGTCTTTCTCGCCCCTGCTCCATCTGGAAGCTTCTGGATGTTTTCGAGCGGCAATCTGGTTGTCTTCCGCCGCTCGCCTCCTCCCGGAGGCTTCTGTCGGCTCCGGGGAGATCCATCCAGACTCCGGGGGCTCTGGCTTCCCCTCTGCCCTCCGAGTTAAACTGTAGATTTAACGCTGCACAGGCCTTGTCGTGACTCACGCTGGGAAGTGTAATTATTGTTTTGTTCTTTGTGTCACAAGTTTCCCCAGACATATGTGAATATTCTCCTCGGCTGATGGGAGAGAGCTTTTTTTTTTAAAACCTGTTCATTTGCAGAGCGAGCCCTTACTTTGTGCTCAGAGCTGCTGCTTCGGGGAGCTAGCCGAGCGGACGGCCCTGTCACGGCGCAGGGGCCGCGGGGGCGTTCGGTGGCTTCATGCGACAACGGTTCTCGCTAATGAGCATGATTTGGGTTATAGTGGGAGCTGTGAAATGCGTTGTTTACTTCGTTGTTTGAAGATTGCCAAGATCGAGGCGGCTACAAGAACAGGGGGCGGCTAATGATTAAATTGGGAAACAATACAGATATATTTTTAAACCCTCACTTGGGGATATTCTTTCCATTGTTTTTCAGAGTGAGTGGAAGGGGGGGAGAGAGAGAGAGAGACATGGATGTGAGAGACACACGGATGGATTGCCTCCTGCAGGCGCCCTGGCCAGGGCCGGGGATCGTGCCTGCAGCCCACGTACATGCCCTGGACAGACTCGCACCCGAGCCCCCTCGGCCCGCGGGCCGATGCTCTCACCACTGAGCCAAAGCAGCTACGGTGGAAACCAGTATTTTTATACTCAACGAAATGTCAGTGTCTCGAGGTTAGAAGAGCCTGACGTTGCAGAATGGACGCCTAGGAGGTGGGATCCAGAAAGGACACTGACGGACGGTCCTCAGGCTCCAAGCTCAAGAGGCATTGAATGAGCCACACTGGCCGGGTGATCCCGTTTCCAAAGCCCTCGCCAGCTAATCAGCTTCAACGTCTTGGGGAATCCGTGGCTGTTTCCCCCTTAGGAGAGCCCATCTCTGCTCGTTCCCCTTCTCCCTGGTCCCAGAGGCGTCAGCCAGGGCACAGGAGCAACAGTGACGGGTGCCCAGTGCTGTGAGCGGGGCTTTCAGGCCCAAGGACCTGTCCCTGAAAGGGCTCCTTTAGTGTCACCGCCCTGGGCTCTTGCGGGAACCCAGCCTCGTAGACGTTTCTCCTGTTTCCAAGTTCAGGGAGAACTACTGAACCTTCTCTCGGGGTGAAGGACTGGCGGTGGGCGCTGGCCATGCACCTGGAAACACCACGGGCTGTGCCCAGGCTACGTTTACGTTGGGTTTTTGATGACATTAAAGTGTGTTAGTGAAGTTTAGTAAGATTGAGCTTTTTTTTTTTTTTTTTTTAATAAATCAAATATTTTCAGTAAGCTTGCCCCTATAATAATAATGTAAAATAAAATATCTTGGTATTAATCTCTTTATGTTTTATACATAAACTAGAAACATTTAAACTCCAGCACAAGTAAGAAACTCCAAATAACACCCTAACAATAAAGAGCTTTCTCATTTCCCCTCCTGTACACGATTCTTCAGAAGGAAAAAAAAATGCTCTTCCATTGTTTTCACTCAGCCTTCCTATGTGCCTTATTTTTCCTGAGAGTAAGCATGTGTTTGAAACTTGAAAGAACCTCCTTTGAATATCACTAATTAAATTTAATGAACAGGTTAATCTGTTATGTATTTCCAACGCATCCAATGAGCCTTAGGTCATGTTTAACACAGACAGTGTTGAATTTAAAACGCCCCCGGGCCTCCTGACTTCATGTTTTTAAAGACATTTATAAGAAAGAAAGAAAAAAAGCATCTCTTGGTTCAGTTTCATAAAACTTCAGAGTAAAAGGCAGATGTTTGCAGATCGGACTGTTGAACGACCCACACATGCACTTTTCTTTTCCTAGAATTTCTATAAAACTGAGCTGAATAAAGAAGAGATGTACATACGCTACATTCACAAACTCTACGACCTGCATCTCAAGGCCCAGAACTTCACAGGTAACTCTGCCTTGGGCTCAGGCTGGGAAGGGGGCTGGACACTGGCGTATTAGACACGATGAATCGTCTGCTTTTTAGAGTTAGGCTGATGACTCTGGCATTTCTGCTTTAAATCGACCTTTATTTTTCTATGTAATTGAGTTGTCCTTTTCGATGGTTCTCTGTTTCCCAACCTCCGTATCAGATAAAGAACCACTTTTTAAAAAAATGAAATGTACTTTTAATTGGATTTATGTGTCTTTTCGTACTTTATTTTCATTTATATATTGGCTTTTTTACTGTAGCTCTTTGCGTAGTTCTTTAGAGGTCGCTTTTGGGGGTTCCAAAACGCATCCCNACTGTATCTCTTTGCGTAGTTCTTTAGAGGTCGCTTTTGGGGGTTCCAAAACGCATCCCTCACTTTTCGCAGTCTACTTAGAGTTAGCATCTCACCACCTCGGTTGAAACGTGGGAAATTGACAACCGTAGAGGTCCCTTTGGCCTCCCACTCTGGGGATCAACAAAAGGCCCTGTTGTGTTGGTTCTGGCCTTTTCTGCCCTTGTGCAGCTTGGGAGTGAGTCCGTGTCGTCATCANCCCGTGTCGTCATCCGCAGAATTTTAAAAGCGCTTTCTCCAGCTCCCTTCTGTCTGTGGTCCTCCTTACCCGTCAGATCCTGCAGGGGCTTCTCTCCCAGTGCTNTCCGTGTCGTCATCACAGAATTTTAAAAGCGCTTTCTCCAGCTCCCTTCTGTCTGTGGTCCTCCTTACCCGTCAGATCCTGCAGGGGCTTCTCTCCCAGTGCTCTGCTTGGTCACAGCCAAAATACTCAAGGCCAAGGCTTGCCTCTCTCCAGGCAAGGATGCCTCCCTTGTTGGGCTTCCTGGGGGCCAAGCTGGGACAGTAAAAAGCCCGTGGAAGCTGCTGCTGCCATTTGTGATTGTCCCCACTGTCCCCACTGCTGGTTTGCAGTTTTGCTCACAGGACTCAGAGAAGCCCAGAGGCGTCAACGTGCTCCATCCCGCAGGCGGCCCTCATGACTGTCCTCTGCCTGCAGGAAGCTTTTCTCGGAGCGTTTTCTGCCTGTTCCTCTTTGCATTTCCAGGAGACAGGGTGGTCCAAGCCAGGAGATAGGCAAAAAATAAAAGCAGGGAACTTGCCACTGTATGGCCACTCTCTAGGTATCAGCTTCCCTACTCTGATTTATTTTGGGAGCCCTCCAGTGGTTGCTTTCTGTATCCTGCAGAGGGTGGTTCGTTGCAATCGGTGGGAACCAGAACCAGAACCCTTTGACTGGGTTTAGGGACCCGAGATCTTGGTCTCTTGCTGCGCTTCCTCCAAGGAACTCCTGAATTATGGTCACTCCCTCACCTTTCAAAGAGCAAAGGAATCCTTTCTGAAATGGGCCTGTGTTCCAGAATTTAATATGCCACCAGCTGCAGTCCCACCCACTCCGTCCACCGAGAGCATTGCTGTTCGCTCAGCGGGACATCTTGAGGTTATCTCGGATATTTCTCTTCTCAGCCTCCCTCAAGGAATCGTTCATCAGGTCCTGTTGATGTTGCTCCCTAAATATCTCTCAAAACCTTGCCCTTTCATTGTTCCTATTCCTCTGCCTCAGGAGGGCCTTTCCCGTCTCTCACCTGGACGGCTTCTTAACTGTCGCCCAGATCCCTCTCCAAGCAGCGGTCAGGCGGCCTCCCCCTGCTGACCAGCTGCCTAGGTTTGGACCCAGCCCGACCCGCTTCTGTTCACACTGTAGCTGCTTTCACGCCGCGGTGGCAGAACCGAGTGGCTACGACAGAGACCCTGTGGCCTGCAGGCTGCATTATTTCCAGTCTGGGTTTTAAGGAAATTTTGCCAGCCTGTCCTCTCCATGCAGTTCCACTGTCAGTGTATGTCTTCTGCAAAAGACAGTCCCAGCTCTCAGTCCAGGGTCCGTCGTAACCGAGCCAGCACCTGTCTGCTCAGCGCCGCCTGACTGCTCGGCTGTGTCTCCTTCCCCGTGACGCCTGCCCTGCCTGGAGCTCTCCTCTCTCCCTCGCCCACTCCGTGCCCCACCACCCGTCTTTCATGAGCTGAGTGGGTGTTTCCAGTGCTTTTCCCATCGCAGTTTTTCAGATTTCCATGAAAGCGCTGCCTTACTGTTTTTATTAGTAGTTATGTAAGACGTGTGTGTGTGTGAGAGGTGGGTAGGCGGGCAGGTGGGCAGACAGGCAGAATGATAGTGTCATCTCCGGTTAAAGGGTAACTCCCTTGAGGACAGAGATGACATATTCTTAGTCGGCTCAGTTCCTAGGACAGTGATTTAAATAAGCGCATTACTAACGAACACGCTCAGTCACACGTTGCCGCCCGAGGGCAGGGTTTTCTTCTCTGATATTGGTAATGCCTTCCCCCTGGGGACGTCCCCGCTCCCTTCACACGGCTGTGCTGAGCGTTCCCGTTAGATGGACGCAGGCTGCGAGCTGAGCGTGTTGCCTGAGAGTTTAAATGCTCGTTTTTAAGTAGTTAGTTGGTAACCAGATTTTGAGAGACGTGGTCAACCTAGTTTTTATATCTGTGGGGGGAAACCTGGGAGCTTGTTTTATTTAAAGTCCGTAAAGAAAGGAGGCGAGAGAGGCAACTGAGGACAAGCCCTTGCAGGCGCGTGACTGCTCTGTTCTGGTTCTCTGGAGGCCAAACCCGCCTNTTACCCGTCAGATCCTGCAGGGGCTTCTCTCCCAGTGCTCTGCTTGGTCACAGCCAAAATACTCAAGGCCAAGGCTTGCCTCTCTCCAGGCAAGGATGCCTCCCTTGTTGGGCTTCCTGGGGGCCAAGCTGGGACAGTAAAAAGCCCGTGGAAGCTGCTGCTGCCATTTGTGATTGTCCCCACTGTCCCCACTGCTGGTTTGCAGTTTTGCTCACAGGACTCAGAGAAGCCCAGAGGCGTCAACGTGCTCCATCCCGCAGGCGGCCCTCATGACTGTCCTCTGCCTGCAGGAAGCTTTTCTCGGAGCGTTTTCTGCCTGTTCCTCTTTGCATTTCCAGGAGACAGGGTGGTCCAAGCCAGGAGATAGGCAAAAAATAAAAGCAGGGAACTTGCCACTGTATGGCCACTCTCTAGGTATCAGCTTCCCTACTCTGATTTATTTTGGGAGCCCTCCAGTGGTTGCTTTCTGTATCCTGCAGAGGGTGGTTCGTTGCAATCGGTGGGAACCAGAACCAGAACCCTTTGACTGGGTTTAGGGACCCGAGATCTTGGTCTCTTGCTGCGCTTCCTCCAAGGAACTCCTGAATTATGGTCACTCCCTCACCTTTCAAAGAGCAAAGGAATCCTTTCTGAAATGGGCCTGTGTTCCAGAATTTAATATGCCACCAGCTGCAGTCCCACCCACTCCGTCCACCGAGAGCATTGCTGTTTGCTCAGCGGGACATCTTGAGGTTATCTCGGATATTTCTCTTCTCAGCCTCCCTCAAGGAATCGTTCATCAGGTCCTGTTGATGTTGCTCCCTAAATATCTCTCAAAACCTTGCCCTTTCATTGTTCCTATTCCTCTGCCTCAGGAGGGCCTTTCCCGTCTCTCACCTGGACGGCTTCTTAACTGTCGCCCAGATCCCTCTCCAAGCAGCGGTCAGGCGGCCTCCCCCTGCTGACCAGCTGCCTAGGTTTGGACCCAGCCCGACCCGCTTCTGTTCACACTGTAGCTGCTTTCACGCCGCGGTGGCAGAACCGAGTGGCTACGACAGAGACCCTGTGGCCTGCAGGCTGCATTATTTCCAGTCTGGGTTTTAAGGAAATTTTGCCAGCCTGTCCTCTCCATGCAGTTCCACTGTCAGTGTATGTCTTCTGCAAAAGACAGTCCCAGCTCTCAGTCCAGGGTCCGTCGTAACCGAGCCAGCACCTGTCTGCTCAGCGCCGCCTGACTGCTCGGCTGTGTCTCCTTCCCCGTGACGCCTGCCCTGCCTGGAGCTCTCCTCTCTCCCTCGCCCACTCCGTGCCCCACCACCCGTCTTTCATGAGCTGAGTGGGTGTTTCCAGTGCTTTTCCCATCGCAGTTTTTCAGATTTCCATGAAAGCGCTGCCTTACTGTTTTTATTAGTAGTTATGTAAGACGTGTGTGTGTGTGAGAGGTGGGTAGGCGGGCAGGTGGGCAGACAGGCAGAATGATAGTGTCATCTCCGGTTAAAGGGTAACTCCCTTGAGGACAGAGATGACATATTCTTAGTCGGCTCAGTTCCTAGGACAGTGATTTAAATAAGCGCATTACTAACGAACACGCTCAGTCACACGTTGCCGCCCGAGGGCAGGGTTTTCTTCTCTGATATTGGTAATGCCTTCCCCCTGGGGACGTCCCCGCTCCCTTCACACGGCTGTGCTGAGCGTTCCCGTTAGATGGACGCAGGCTGCGAGCTGAGCGTGTTGCCTGAGAGTTTAAATGCTCGTTTTTAAGTAGTTAGTTGGTAACCAGATTTTGAGAGACGTGGTCAACCTAGTTTTTATATCTGTGGGGGGAAACCTGGGAGCTTGTTTTATTTAAAGTCCGTAAAGAAAGGAGGCGAGAGAGGCAACTGAGGACAAGCCCTTGCAGGCGCGTGACTGCTCTGTTCTGGTTCTCTGGAGGCCAAACCCGCCTGATTATATTTTGGAGATGGGAAAAACGCTTTTCTCTCATTTGTTCAGTGTTTATGTTCCCCAAAGTCATAAGAAATAAGTCCCGTTCCCATATAACATTTTGTTCTCTCTCCCGCCCTCATTTTTGTGAGTCCTTGGAGAGGCCGAAGCCGACGGAGAGACTTTCTGCCTTGACAGGTTTCTGCTTAAGTGGCAGGGTCTGCGTCCCTGACTCCTCTCCTCTCCTGTTATTACTCCTTTCGTCTCCAAGTGATGGAGTGAGGTGCCTGTACTCCAGTAGGTGGTGGCGCCTTTTGCTCAAAATTATAAACACTTTACGAAAGATTATCTGTTGGGCTTTCGGAGGTGATTCATTCTTCCCTCATCCGCGTGAAACATCGCCTTCTAAAGAGACAGAAAAATAATAGACAGCCTATTCCAATAAAACACCTGCAATTTGCTAATACGTTCAGAGTCCTCTCCTCTTCCGCGGTGTGGTCCATGCCTCCGAGGTGTGTATGCTCCGTGAATGAAAATGTTTACGGCTTCTTTTACAAGGGCTGTTTACCCAGATATCCACCATCATTTTCCAGAATCAAATCTCACACACACACACGCACGCACGCACGCACGCCCGCTCACACTCACTCAGGAAACACTCTGTTCTAATCCCTCCTTTATNCTCCACCATCATTTTCCAGAATCAAATCTCACACACACGCACGCACGCACGCCCGCCCGCTCACACTCACTCAGGAAACACTCTGTTCTAATCCCTCCTTTATTCCTAGGTGGTTTTTTTCTGTTTCCTCTCCGCCCTCAGCTCCTCTCTGGCCTCTTTGCCCCTCCTACCTCCTGCCCGAACCCTGACCCTCCCCCAGCACCATTTCCAAGTCGGTCAGCCTTTGTCCAGAAGAGTCTAGCTTCCATTTTCGGTTTCCTGAACGTGCCCTTGGGAAGATGCTCGTAGTCCCCGCTCAGGGGGTTCACCCCCTGTGAGCCTCCCTCGCAGACAGAGGCATGTCTCCCCTCCCTGTACCTTCGAATCAGCGACAGCACATATCCTTCAGTGTCTTTGTTGTGACCATCACCTACAGGCATTGTAGGAAAAAGAGAGGGAGGGAGGGAGAGAAAATGAATCTGAGCCCGGCCGGGCGTGGCTCCGCGGTTGAGCGTCGGCCTAGGATCCAGGCGATCGGGGTTCGATTCCTTGTCAGGGCACAGGCCCGGGTTGTGGGCTCGATCAATGACTCTCTCATCATGGATGTTTCTGTCTCTCTCTCTCCCTCTCCTTTCCTCTCTCTGAAATCGATAAAGATATATTTAAAAAAATAAATAAATAAAAAAGAAAATGAATCTGAACGAGTGAGTGAGTGAATGAAAATGCAGGGAGCCAAAGGTCAGATGCAGATCCCTGACGATTCCGCCTTCTGGGGGAGTCAGTGGTCACTGACCCGCTTCCCCTGTGTCCTGGGCGCTTCCCCGGTATCGTGGGATTCAGAAAGCGGTGTTGCGCCCGACGCCCGGGCCCGGCCCCCCTGGACCCTTGCCCTGCCTTGCAGAGGCCGCGTACACGCTGCTTCTGTACGACGAGCTGCTGGAGTGGTCGGACCGGCCTCTGCGCGAGTTCCTGAGCTACCCCACGCAGACCGAGTGGCAGCGGAAGGAGCTCCTGCACCTCGCCGTGATCCAGAACTTCGACCGCGGCAAGGTGAGGGCCCGGGGGCGCCTGCTCACTGACGCCCCCTCCTCAGGCAGGGGCCTTCCAGCTTTAATGTGCGCTGAGAACACCCAGGAATGTGTCAAAATGGGGATCCCC